GCTCTCTCCGGGGCTGACATTCTCCCTCTCGGACCCGGTCCCGTTGGGGATAGAGTTTTCGCCGTTGACGAGCCCGCCGCCAGCCCCCTTGAGGCTCGGCGCCTGCTGCGCCCCCGCCTCCTCCTCCAGGCTGCGCAGGACCAGGGGCAGCCGCGAGTCGCCCGCGCCGCCCTCCAGCAGCCCAAGGTTGCTCTCCTCGTACTTCGGGAGCGGCGCGCGCTCCTCCACGTGCTTGCGGAAGCACTTCCGGTTGGCGGCCGCACTCTGCACGGCTCTCTCTAGAATCTCCTTCTCCCCTAGCCGCAGTTTGATGGCCATCTTCATGCGCGCGGGAAGCTCGGGGCTCTTGAGCACGGCCTGGTCTTCCTGGAGAAGCGAGCACAGCGTCAGTGGCCGGAACCCACACCCGCGACGCTGCAGGGCAGGCGGGTCTGCGGAAGGCTCTAGAGCCCGACTGGGCATGCTCCGGGCCGGGTGCTGCCGCGGGCCTGTGGGTTCTGTCTGTGGCAAGTGGTTCCCCAATACCACCAGCGTAAGACTAGGGGAGACCTGCACCAGTTGGGGGCACAGGACAGGGAATCTCATGGCTCCGTCAGAAGTACCCTGTGGAGCGCTCTGTGGGGCCCAAGTGACCCTGCAACAGGCAGGGGCAGAGGGAGGGAAGGAAAGGAGGGAGGGAGAGGCTTGAGAAGGGGGTCTCTGGAGCCAGCGGCACAGTAGGCCCTGGGGCATAAAAGGAAACTGCAAGCATACGATTAGAAATTATACAAGAGTAATAATTTAAAATTTTGTCTCATCAGTAATGCCTCAACGTGACAGAGGGGTAAATATACACATATTACTTGGAAAAATACTAATTTTTTTTTACATATATTTAGTTGCTGCACGGTCTTGCCAAGCAGCTCAGACTCACGGTGATCCTCCTGTCCTCCCTTCCCAGCGCTGGGTTACAGGCGCTCACCACCATGCCTGGACTCGGGCCTACAGCACACCCTGGGGGGTGGGGGTGGGGGGCGCCTGGTGTGGCAGGCGGTGCCAGGGATGGAAGGCGCTTCCTGGACTTGCCTAAGCAGGCGCTTTAGTCCACTGAGTTATCTTGTTGGCCTCCTAAAATTCTAATTTTTAATGAAAATGTCAAATACATAATTATTTTGCTAAAAAAATTTAAATAATTTATATTTAGGAAGGAATCTGTTTATAAACCTGAGAAAGCACAAATCCCCATTTATCAATCTAATTACCTCAATTGTTGTTTTGTATGTTTTTAAAAGAAGAGATGCTCTATCTTCGAGAAACGACCAAAGTTTAACTTCATTTTCCCAGCTGACCGGAAACTCTGAGTTACCCAGGGTGAAGATTCTGTCAATTGCGTTCTCTCCTAGCAAATGTTCTTTTAGTTCCTCTGCAAGAAATACAAACAGCAATCTGTCGGCAGTGGAGAGCAGCACTGCTCCTTCCTTCAACAGTGGGTCACTTTAAAAATGTCACTCCCAACACCGGGTCTGGGGCTGATACTGCTGACCCGTTAGGCCAGGCCACTTCGGCCTCCCCAGGGCAGTCAGGGCTGAGTGCTGCATGAAGGACTGAGTCCATCCACTCCCGCCGTATGAGGCGTCCGGTTGTCTGTCTGTGAGATGCGCCAAGAGCCTCCAGACAGCCTCACACAGCTCGGCCTGCGAGGACGGGCCGTGGCCGGGCACAGCACCCCTGTGCTGCAAGGACTCGTTCTCCAGCCTGGGGCTCAGTCCCACTACGTGGGTCAGAAAGACCACAACCCAAGCACCGGAAATGCAAGCTTCACAACTTCGAGATCCCCTGCAGCTTAAAGCCCACCACTCATTCTTGAGCTCACCTCACAAGCACGCCACAGACCAAGAAAACAAGGGGACTGGAGAATTCTTAGCCATGGAAAGACTCTCAGGGACTCGAGTGGGAATTACAAATAAAGGCAGGTGTACAGTTCAGGTGTGTCCAGGGTACTTAAGGAAAAGCAGACCCCAGCTCTGGGCTAGAGTGTTTACTTCCTGCTGGCCCTCTGCTCCTAAGGACCAAGCATGCCCAGCGCCAGTCCCCACTCGCAGAAAAGCCAGCTTCTCCAACTACCGTGGCTCCAGGGCTCACAGCAAATGCCCTAGAGCTGGCACTATGTACAATTCAAATCGGGATCTGTGGCTGCCAGCAAACCAAACTTCTATTAGTGTCACATGGAGTAATTCAAAGAAACATCAATTGTCCTGACAGGACACACTGTCTTTTCTGACTGAAGAGAATAATTCAAGTTTTCTTAAAAAGAGAAAACAGATGTTATCTATGTTCAAAATGATATATTGAGTTGTATTAGCAAAAGAACAGGGTAGAATTCAGGATTTTTAAGTCTTCATTCTTCAGTTTTTAGTGTATATATGAAATGAGGAAGATTAAGGCAGCCCCTTGGAGGCAGAAGCGCCTCTGCAGAAGCCGAGGGCTAGCTGATTCTACCACCCGTTCTCGTCAGCCCTAGTCTTCTTTTCAAGGAGGGAAAGTAGGCTGGCAGGAGGTTGAGGCAGGAGGACCGCAAGTTCAAACTCACCCTGGAAAACTTAGGGACTTGGTAAAATCCTGTCCCAAAAGAACAAAAAGTGTGGAGGGGCGGTGAGGATGCAGCCCAGCATACTGAGCTCGGCTCAGATCTCCAGAGAAACAAAGCTGACAGGCTGGAATGAGGCAGTCCGGCAGCCAGAGCCCACGGGCCGTGGCTCCTTGGCCAGGAAGGGCATTGCAGCCCTTGCACCCTCCTCCCCTGCAGCGCCCTGGCTAGCACTGGCTCCCTCCAATGTCACTCTGCCCAGACCTCTGGGCACTAGCAGTGTCCTGACCCGAAGACCAGCCACAGGAAGCTAGGAAATTGACGAAATGTGTGTGTGTAGGTGGGACTGGGCCTCAGTGCCTCCAGCCAACAAGCTACCTCAGTCCTGAGGAAAACATCCTGTCTGGTTCAGGCCAGCTATTAGCTTCTAGGCAACCTTGTGTCATTGGAGTTAGCCTTGCCCATCAGGCAGACTAGCGACCACCTAGCCCAGCTTTTGTCTTCCTATCTTTCTCATTCCTGTCGCCATGTCTCCCCAGGTAAAACCGTACACAGTAAGATCGAGGCATCCCTAAAGCAGGGGGCAACTGGGGCTGGAGTCTAGCTGCATACCCGCCTGGCCCAGCAACCCACCCCATGTGAACTAGAGTTTCTCCACTGCTGAAATGGGAACACCTACCTCACAGGGCTGATAAGATGAACATAATGTACCACATTTAGCATCGTGCCCGGCACTAAGTGCTCCACAAATTACAGGAATTAGCATCGCCATCGTCTCTCTTAATTATACATTCCTTGAGAATATGAACTGTGACATTCAATTCTGCATTCCTATATTATGCAAGAAAGGTCCAGGTAACCTTAACCCATGGTTCGCTGAACTGAGTGCTCAACTACAACGAAGGACACCCGAAGCCCACTGAATGCCAGCAACAGGGTAGCTCTGACAGGACCCTTCCACACTCACCCTGGCCACCGGGTAGCTGGCGCTTAAACTTCCCATGCTGTGGGACTGTTTCTTCTCCCTGCAGCCTGATGTCAAGCTCTGGACTTGTGCAGCCTTCTCCAAGCCCCAAACATGAAGCCAGGGCCAGAAACAGCAGGGCACAGCCACCTTGGTCAGCCCCAACCAGGGCCACCCTCTCCTGACACCCACAGCTCCCCCAGGGACTCGCACTGCCTGTTCAGGCATCACCATCCTCGCCTGCCTTCTTGTCTTCCCACACACTCTGTTCTGCACAGGATTCAAGGTTGTTTACAACAACAACAAAACACACACACACACACACACACACACACACACACACACACACTAGAAATGAAACCTTAGGACTAGGAGTAATTTTAGGGTGAAAAATTAGAGCACCACCTCCCAGACCACCCGAAACCCCAAGGGGCTTGTCTCAGGCACATAGAAAAGCTGGCCGTCAGCACCTAGAGCTCTTTCTGGGACTGAACTGAAGCAGGAGGCTGCAGCTGAGAAGCCCCACGTCCCACGCAGGATGTGTGCAGTGCCACTTATCCAGCGGATGCCTGGGAGGCGGCATTTCCAGGACAAATAGGATCAGGTTTTTTATTCCCCAATACTGCTAACTCCCCTTTTCCCAAAGGTGCTTTAGTTTTAAAGCCATTATCATAATGTGAACCTTTATGCTTTATATTTCCATGAGTTTAAAAAGAAAACCATCTTTTCCCTCTTTCCTGAAATGATTACCTTCAGTCATGCAGAATACTCGGAGAAAAGCCAGAAGCTGAGCAGAGATAGGCGGCTCCGTAAAATGTAGTGCAAAAACACTGGACCTGAGAAGAGCCAGAAGAAAGGTCAGGTGCAGATGTGCCCCACTTGGTGTCTCAGGGACAGCTGAACAGGGAGGGCCGTGACACCCACAGCACAGCAGGACACACGCGGCAGGGCTCCAGCCTGGACAGCCATATCTGGCATGGCCCACCTCTGCCAGCACCCATCAGTGGGCAGCTCCGTCCTGGGGCTCATCCTCATATTAAGAGAATTAACTTGATTATGGTTCTTAAAAATGTTAATAATAATTTATAAGTTGACACTTTAATCAAATATTGACAAGTTCAATAAAAAGAGCCAGATAAGCCATTTTCATTAAGAATGGTTCCTCTGTTCCCAGGAGGACTAGTAAAGCATAATTTTTATCTTCTGAATCATTTTACTCAACTTCAAGAAAATCCTAAAGAATTTAGCCAGAAATTCTTGAGGATCATAACTTCATTATAGGAACTACTGGAGGCAAATAACTAAATGAAACAAATTGATCCAGGTCATTAACCTTTTCAGGGTGAAAGACACTAATGACACCAAAGCACTCATTTAACTGAAAGAGGACCACAGGCCCTGTCCCCAGAACTGACATGAGTGTCCCCCAACATGGCTGTGTCCATGTGGACCTGCTGGCCAATGTCACCATGCAGCTGAGTGTAGCAGGGATCAAGGGGTTGGTACAAGCTGCCAAAGTGGGACAGTGTTGGAGCACACCGAGGGAAGGAACCCTGCCCAGCCGGAGGCTGCGGGGGGGGGGGGGGGGGGGGGGGGGGGGGCAGGTGTACGTACGTTGGGATGCCCGCGCGCGCCAGGACCTCAGCCTTCATGGCATACAGCCGGTCGCTTTTACTCACGCCGAGCTTTATTTTCACTCTGTCATGTGTGTTGTTGTCAAAGAAAAAGCCACTGTGGATCACAAACTCTGCATTTGACCGGGTGCCATAAAAAATGTAAATCTGAGATGCAGCAAAAAGAAAACAGAGGGCATAAAACAGACTCAGCTGCACAGAGACACACCCTCCCGGGAGCCCGACAACCGGCTGGACCTGAGTGACTCACACTCCCTCTTCTCCAGCTCAGACATGGTGGGTCGAGCACCCATACCCACCCTAGTGGTCAAAGGAAGCCACGGAGCTGGGGCACTGACCCAGGGCCTCACGGGCAGACAAGGAATCCCAGCCCTGGAGAGCGCTGGGCCTCGGGGCTACCCTCTCATTCCCAGGCTGGCCAGGATGCTTCTTCAGGCCTGCACTAAGAATGCACCCCCTCCCTCCAGGACAGAAGTCCCTCCTGGAACAGGAGTGCAGAGCAACACCTATCAGAAATCCACTTCTACATCCTGGGCAAGTCTGCACCTAGCAGGAACCTCACAGACTTTTCTAAAAAAAAGAGCAGATCAACACTGACTTAAAACTAATTTTGCACTTGGCTCCACTGGAACGCCCTGACCTAAACGTAGGGAGTCAGAGATGTGGATTTTCAAGTTGACTAAAAAGCTTGCCCTTGTGCCTGCACAAACTCGGATGCAGACTGAAGTTGGTGCCACCTGGATACTGCTGCTTAAATATTGCACCTCTACAGAGAACCGTCGCACGAAGAAATAGAAGCAACGCAGGCTAGGAAATAACCCATTTTAGTGTCCTAAGATGAATTTAATTTTCAGGTAACACTGTCAGAGGTCAACGGTGCAATAATTGTGGTAAATCCTTTTTCTTTGTGAGCCAAAGCAGATTATGTTTATTACAGCTTTAAGTCTCGAGAAGTGCTCAGAAAACAAACTATCCGGAAGACGAGCTCTCCTCCCAAGTCAGTACCCTCTCCAGTGACCACACACCCCTTGCCTGGGGCCAGCCATGTCCCATGGGCTGCTGCGTGACACCCACCTGCTCTCCGGCCCGAAAGTCCTGCAGAGCCACACACTCACAGCGGTCGTCCTCCAGGTTGTAACCGGTCGTGATCTGGCCATGGAGAAAGGAACAAGACAACAATGAGGGTCCCGAGTTTGTTCCAGCAATGAGAGGGTAAAAGCTGCCCAGATGTCCTGAAGAGGTGCCCGCGCAGGTCTTTCCACTAGCACCACGCAGAGAACACACCCACTCAGGTCAGCCTCCACCGAGGTGACGCCCCTGATGCAAAGGAAGCGCTCCTGGGGAAGCCAGTCACTTACTTACTGGGCATCTCTCATGGGCCTCAAACAAGCACATGCTCTTACCACACCCCAACAGCAGTAGGCGACACGGGGACACATGGAGCAGGCCTTGTACCTATCCATGGTCACCTGGGAGCAGCAGGACCCTGGCAGACCCCCATTCACTTGCAAGGGTTTGGCCATTAAGGAGCTGAAGTGAGGTTTCTATTGGATACAGAATCAGGGGACAAGAAAAGCTCTATTTCTGAATCAAATATTTTACTCTGCCACTAGAAAATGTGCCGCTTCTGGGTAGGAAGGGCAAAGCACCCCAGCCTCCACTGCATGGCTCAGTGGCCGAGGGCTCACCGAGCACACAAGCCCTGGTTTCCGTCCCCAGTTCTTCCTTACTCCTTTTTTCCTGCCCAGCGTTTCTGAGGCCACCACAGCATAGCACACCCTCTAGCTACCTCCTAAATCAGTGTCTTCCCTAAGGCCCCATTTCCACGAGAGCCAGGCAATGCCATGGACTTGGCGCCAAGGTCACAAGGAAATAAATGCACCTGACCAACCAGCATTTTATTACCCACATTTCTTTTGGCTCCCCTCCCCCCTCCCCCCTTCCCCTCCCCTCCCCCTCCCCCTCCTCCCTGGCCCTCATTCTTCTTGCCTAGCTTGGCCTTGGAATCTAGTCCTGCTGTCCTCCACGCTAACCATACCACATGCCCCCCCCCTTCAGAACAACACCCAAATTCCCCAGTGAGGCCAATTCCAGAAGGCCCACATCTTCCTTGGATTTGTGCACACGGCTCCCGCCAGGCCCGGCCGCTGTCTTTGTGTCCCCCTACCTGGAGCTCCTTCTCCTGCTGCTCAGCTTTAAGACTGAGGAGACTGGGCCCCCTCAGGGCAGTCCCTCAGTGCTCTCCTCTGCCCTCCTGGGCTCTGCCCTCTCCTTTCCAGCCACATGTGTGAACACCTGCCATCCTTGGCAGGCAGTGGCCCTGGTGCCCCACACATGGCACCTAACACTTGACCCTCTAAGACTTCCTTGAGGCATGAACCCCCCCCAGGGGAAAGAGCGGGCCCCAACTTAGGGTCAGTGCTGTTTAGCACCTTGTCTCACAGGACAGCCTCATTGGCTCTGTGGATCCCGTACCAATGAACCTATCACTTCATCCCAGGAATCAAGGCTGTCTGCTAATAAAGGCAGTGACGTGGATCCACACCACCGCCGCGGGACAGAAGGCCACCAACACTCATCTTTAAACCCTGCCCCTACATGCTTCTGTTCTGCAAAGACCAGCGAGAAAACGAAAGCAGCGAAGGCAGAGGAAGCCAAGTACTCTAGAGCAGTTTGCACTCACAGGACACATTCAGCATTTGAACCCGATTAGAATTGGCTCCTTGAAGCTCCTGCCCAAAGTCAGGTTCAGGTGTGGACCCCAGAGGACCACCCTGATAACAAACAGTGCAGAACAAGGGGCTGCCCTTTCTTGAAAGCTGTGCTCCCCGCTTCTCCAAACTGGGACCTGCTAGCAGCCGAAACAGGAGGGAGGGACAGCAGGAAGGGAGGACGGGAAGGGAGCACAGTGCACTGTGTGATGAGGACTCACATGTCCCCTTCTGACAGCAGGTCCATGACCACCCCCACACGTGCTCCTCAGCGGGGGCACGGCGCCCAAAGGTTGTGTGTGGAGCTTCTCTGTGTGGCGCTGCCCAACACTTCCTCTAGGGTGCTGTCAAAGCGCATCTCAAGCAACCCCCCACACGGGGCAGGAACTCCATTAGTGTACCTCTATGAAAGAACGTGGAGGTTTCTCAAAAATCTAAATTGGAACTACCATGTGATCCAGCAATCCATGCACTCTGGCATACACTGGTGGGAAGGGAGCCAGCCCGGGAGGCCACGTACACTGCAGCCCACTCAGGGCAGCTGGGCCAGGGGGTACTGGGGACCCGCAGTAGGTGGTGAGTGAAGGCATCCCACAAGTGGGGCAACCTGGCTTGAACGGAATCATGTCACTCTCAGGACAACAGGTGGAACTGGAGGATATCAAGTCATCTGCCATATGCCAAACAAGAAAAGGCAAGTACTGTGTGTTTTCTCACATGTATGGAAACTAAAATAAAAAATGGCTTGACAGAAGAGGGACCATTGGGGAAAGCGGGGAGACGCTGTACGAGCATCAAGGGGAACCCATTCATCTGCATGACTGACAGGCCATGAGTGATGACGGGGTAGCATGGCCGGGGGGGCAGGGCTTTCCCTAAAGGCCCCCCCAAGGTCTCTGCCGAAGCCTGGAATGACAGCTGCCCAGGGAACCCACAGCCACAAGTGTCCCAGTGTCCAGACTGCTGCAAAGGCCAGTCCCCAAGGCAGGGACAGGTCAAGAATGCTGATCCCAGCACTGCTAGGCAGTCACATGGTCATTCTGCCCTCCCTCACCCAGCCTCATGTGACACCCAATATCCCTCCCAGCTAACTGGCCTACAAATACTTGTCATCGACAGCCCATTCCAGGCCTGAGCTAAGCCTCGGGAAGTGGTGCAACAAGGAGCAAGGAGCCTAAAATCTAGACATAGCCCTGCAGGTCCTCAAGTGCGTGCGGTGGTCGTGTCCCCTGGCAATTCTGGAGGGGGTGGAGTGTGCAGGCAGCGCCAGGGTACCCAGGGCTGAGGCAGCGGCCCGCTGTGGGCTCCTGGCTCTCATCCCCAGCACAGAGCTGACCTAGCAGGAAGGGCGCAGTGCGCAGCTCCCCAACACGGACAGTGGGAGGGCTGTGGGCCATTTTCATTTTCTTTTTCTAATTTTCTCCAAGTAAGTATCGTATTTTCATTATTGTAGCAGAAAAGAAATGAAGTAATACATGCTCATCAAATAAAATTCAGAAAACAATATAATCTCATTAACAATTTGAAAAAAAACAATTTCTTTCTGCTCTTTTTTTCCTACTATATGGAACGTATACATATCACTGATATATGTATTTTACATTCATCTATTCACCACTTGTGAATTTATTCAAAAAATACCGGCATGGGATGTACCTGCCTTGTGGGCTCTGCTTCCTGGGGGAGGGGCCGAGGGGATGGGGATGGGAGGACTGCGATACAGACACATTCCCGAAATGTACAGACGACAGTGAAGCAGAGTACAACTGTCCGGACAAAAATGGGAAAGCCACTGGACAGAAAGGAAGGGCTTTCATGGTGGTGCATGCCTCTAATTCTAGTGTTCTAGGAGGCTGAGGCAGGAGGATGTCAAGTTCAAATGCAGTCTGGGTAACTTAGCAACTCAGTGAAATTCTGCCTCTAACTGAAACGTAAGAAAGGCTGGGGATAAAGCCTGGTACAAAGGCCTGGCAGTACACCTCCCACCAGACAGGTGAGGCGTGCGAAAGGTGCGCAGGGCAACGCCCCCCACGCTGGTCTGGCTGGGATGCTGAGGCAACACGGCTAGGCACAGCCAGCTGTGTGAGGTGGGCATGTCCTGGCAGCGACAGCCGGGTCACACCCCTGTGCTGTGGTGTACTAGGCACAGGCTGCAAGCCGGGCCATGTGGTTGTCTTTCCCTTTGAGACCGGAAGCTGAATGTTTTCATGTTTCAAGTCACAGAAGGGGAGACCCCGGAGGAGACCCCGGCTGGGCTGCACGTGGGTCTGCACCGTCCTCGCCCTGCCCAGTGAGTGCCCCATACCACATACTGGAGCTCACACAGTGGTCTCTGTACCATCTCTGGCTGCCCTTCTCCTATCAACTGAACGAGAGGATGCCGGCCGGGGACATGAGGTTGGACGACTCGTGCATGATGTAAGCCCGTATTTCTCACAGGGGTCCATTCTCAGTGGGAGAGCCAACCACAGGCCCCCTTGCAACCTGTGCCCAGTACAGCTGCGGCCCATGCAGTCGCTGGCACACGCCCACCTCATGAGGCCCTGACCCTCCAAAGCCCACCCACTCCCCAGGCTGCACAGTCTTGGGGGCTGCTCTGAAGTCACTGCCACAGGCAGGATGCTGCGCTCCCCACCCGGGTTCTGGGACTCGGCTCCCAGCACACAGCGTTGCTGGGTTACAAATGTCTACCTACTCGCTCAGCGCGAGCCCAGATAACTAACAACAAGAGGAGATCAACCGCACAGACGCACACAGAAGAAAGAGAAGCTCTCTTGAAAAGCCGAGCCTTGTTTTCAAATGTCTTATTTTAAAAAAGAGATTAACTCTTAATGTGTATGAGATACAACTTCAGTGTTAAAACAGGATTTCTTAAATCCTACACATGAGGTGCCCATGAAGTCCTAGGACGACAACAGGAAACAGTTCAACAAAGGCTGAGCTCGCTCTGCCAGGGAACCACCACTGCGATGGGCGCTGCACCTGAAGCCCTGCCAAAGGGCGGGGCCCTTCTGCCAGCACAGGGAGGTTGCAAACTACATGATTCGCACCAAGGAAAACTGGCGAGAGTTGCCAGCGGTCTGTTATTTTTATTTTGACATAAACTTTAAAAAGCACAGACCAGCAGCATCCCATCTATAAGGCATCTCTGAGCAGGGGAGTACCCAGGCCAGGCATGGAGGGTGGGGGTGCCTCAGGCATCAGCAGCACTGGGCCCCAAGGCCACGCGCTCCCCTTCCCTAGACTCCCTGCAATTGTTTGTTCACAGCAAAGCATTTTTTCTTTAATCTCAGAAGTAAAAAATAAACTCTAATGATCAATCAAGTTTGGGAACCAATGATCTGGTCCAAAAAAAGGCAAAGAGAACTAGAGAGCTGGGTATTTTAAGAGCTATGAAAATTTTTTAATTTCAAGCTTAGGATCAGTTAAAAATATCTCTGAAGGAGAAAAAAATATATATAAAATTATATTCATTAATGAAAATATAAAACATGCTGCTTTTCTTAGTATTGCTAATTAAATTAAGCATACCCAAATTAAGGCAAAATCTATTCTCTCTTGCTACAACTGAAATACTCTTAAGACTCCAGGAACACTTGCTGCTGGCCCTCCCCGTCAGCAGGGGGGCGGGACACTCCCTGAAGGGCCTCGCATGCGGGACACGTGTTCTGGGGTCCTGGGCCCCTGATGGGAAGGAACTGCTTAGGCACCTCTTTAATGTATGCACAACACTAATAACAAGAAAGCTGGGGTCACGAAATGGTGAACAAAACACAACCAAACCAGTGGGCAAGTCTAATGTTTAAAATTCTACAATTATCTGGCGTTTATCACGTGTCCCCAGCTCCGAGAAGCCTCCAAACTGGATTGTGGCTTCAAACCTGCATCCAACAGAGAAACCCACCCTCCACCCCTCAAGCCGCAGCCACCGGAAGCCCCGCCCCCACCTCCAGCCGCGTGGGGGGCTCATGGAAGGTCGGAGACAGGGAAGCGACAAGTGGAAGGGAGTCCACGAAGAAAGGAATGCAAGGGGAAAACTGGGAGGGTCTTCAGGAAATCAGTACTTTTAAAAGAATCAAAATAAAGGTGCTTTGGTTTAGTCTGTGGTACAGCAAGTTGAGAAAATGAATGCGGGCTGGAATGTCAATGATGGCTCAGCAAATAAACGTCCTTGGCTTCCGCGGGGCTGAAAGACTCAAGCTCCGGGTTCTGGGCGAGAAGTTAGCAAGAGTGGTCGAGAAAACCCAGGAGTGGGAGGAACCCCCTCAGTCCCGCGTGGGGGGGAGGGCCGACAAGGGGACAAAAGCACAGGAAGTGGCTGTCACAAGCCTCCAGACAAAGCCCAGGGGAGATGGTTACCAGGCCGTTGGTGTGGTTACACATGTCCCACAAGGGGATCAGGGCCAGGGTCACCCGGGAGCCGTCCTCCGTGGGAACTTGGTTTTGTCGCGTCATAACAGAAGAGACCGCCCACCTGCAACGAGCAGAAGGAAGCAAGTGAATTTGGAGCCTTCAGAAGCCACTGCAGTGAGCAGGAACCAGAGGCAGCCCGCAGCCTACGGTTAGCGGGCCACTCCCTGAGGAGCCTCTTCTTAAATACCAAAAGCAACA